GGCCGTGGTCCACAGACGACGCCATAGCCCTCACCATCCACACTGCCCTCTCACACCTGGACCAGCGGAACACATATGTGAGAATGCTGTTCACTGATTACAGTTCAGCCTTCAATACCATTGTGCCCTCCAAGCTGGTCATCAAGCTCAGAGACCTCGGGCTCAACAGCGCCCTCTGTGACTGGATCCTGAACTTCCTGACGGGCAGACCCCAGGCAGTGCGGGTGGGAAACATCACATCCTCCACCCTGATCCTCAACACCGGAGCCCCTCAAGGCTGCGTGCTCAGCCCTCTCCTCTACTCCCTGTTCACACACAACTGCGTGGCCGCACACAACTCCAACACCATCGTGAAGTTTGCTGACGACATGACCGTCATCGGCCTGATCTCCGTGTCCACATCACTGAGGACCTGACATGGACTCTTCACTGAGGACCTGACATGGACTCATCACTGAGGACCTGACATGGACTCATCACTGAGGACCTGACATGGACTCATCACTGAGGACCTGACATGGACTCATCACTGAGGACCTGACATGGACTCATCACACAAACACCATCACCAAAAAAGCTTGACAGCGGCTCTTCTTCCTCCAAAGGCTGAGGAGGTTCAACATGGACTCCAGGATACTCTGCAACTTCTACAGGTGCACCATAGAGAGCATCCTGACCTTCTACAGGTGCACCATAGAGAGGATCCTGACCTTCTACAGGTGCACCATAGAGAGGATCCTGACCTACAGGTGAACCATAGAGAGGATCCTGACCTACAGGTGCACCATAGAGAGGATCCTGACCTTCTACAGGTGCACCATAGAGAGGATCCTGACCTACAGGTGCACCATAGAGAGGATCCTGACCTTCTACAGGTGCACCATAGAGAGGATCCTGACCTTCTACAGGTGCTCCATAGAGAGGGTCCTGACCTTCTGCAGGTGCACCATAGAGAGGATCCTGACCTTCTACAGGTGCACCATAGAGAGGATCCTGACCTTCTACAGGTGCACCATAGAGAGGATCCTGATCTTCTACAGGTGCACCATAGAGAGGGTCCTGACCTTCTACAGGTGCACCATAGAGAGTATCCTGACTGGCGGCATCACGGCCTGGTACAGCAGCTGCACCGCCCTCAATCGTAAGTCTTTACAGAGGGTGGTGAAAACTGCACAGAACATCACCAGGACGGAGCTGCCATCCATGGAGGACCTTTACTCCCAGCGGCTCAGGAAGAAAGCCCTCAGGTTTATCAAAGACCCCCATCACCCCAGCAACAAACTGTTCTTTCTGCTGCCCTCTGGCAGGCGTTACCGCAGCATCTGGACTAAAACCACCAGACTCAGGGACAGTTTCATCCCACAGGCCATAACAATGTTACAACATACATAACATTCATCTGTTTGCAACTCACATTTATCGGTGTTCCAATTGCTGGATATAGACTATTCTGCACAGTTTCTATCATATTATGTTTCTATTATATTCTATTTTTTTTTCTTGTACTATTTTGTCTGTTTGTTGTGTTGCACTGTTGGAGGAGCCAGTGACCTAAGACTTGTCATAGCTACACCGTAGCTATGCACACATGACAATAAAAGCCTTGAAACTTGAAACTAAAGTATATTTTGATGATAATACTTTTGTACCATTACCTAAGGACAGTGTGAAAGCAGGACTGTTTCTTGTTACTTAGTATTTGTACACTGTAGTCTTGCTACTTTTACTAAAGTAAATCCTTTCAGTGCTTCTTGCACCTCTGGTTGGTGGCCGTCGCTCAGGAAGTACAATTAGAAAGCTCTTTGTAAATGGGTTCATTTGTCATTTGTTGGAGAGGCCCCCTGGTGGCAGAAAATGAAATACTGCATGTTTAATTGTAAACTGTGAACACAGAGAAACTTCCTTTTTAGTGCGAATGCATTCCACTATAGTTATTCGAATCTTTATTTAGTGCGAATGCTATTTAGAGCATTCCACTATAGTTCTTCGAATCTTTATTCTTCCCCTTAAACTTATTATTTCAGCCAATACTTTGGCTCTCTCTCCATAACTTCAGCTTATTTTCAGCTACAGAAACCATTCAAATATTAAACTATTCAGTCTTTTCAGCAATTGATGAGAAACTTTCAACTTTTTCAAAATATTTCATACCTTTTGATATATTCAGCTTTTTAAACTATTTTTTTATCATTGAAGTCAATGGGAGATGCCTTCAAATCCTGTTTTCCTACACCTTGCGCCAAATGCTACTCCTTCCACATACTTTCAGCTAGACACTTCATTCCAACTTTCAAATAATCACAAGACCTTCAGCTATTCAATTCTTATTCAGATTTTTGATATCTTTTAAACTTTTTGAGATATTGAATTTAGTTTGGAGCTTGGTCGAGAGGCCTTTTTCAGATTTTAACATTAGAGTGGATGGAGCAGCTCGTTAACTCTAGAGTGCTTTGATCTCAAAACAGAGTGCAGCAGTGCCTGAAATTCTCCCCCAAAAATATTTTAAACCTGCCATAATTCCCAAACCCTACACTCCTCAGACATATTTTTTCATGAAAAACGTAGGAAAACCTCTCCAAGGTTGGAAAAATAAATAAAAATAAGAAAGAATATTAAACAAAACGCCACTTGAGGGCATGAAGAGAGAAAAAGTCCAGCTAGCTCCCAATTGATTCCCATGTTAAATTGTTCCGGATCTTTCTTCAGAGCAGAGAGAAGTACACTTTAGGCAAACTGCTCCCATCTCCACATTTTACACACAAAACCCCAAAAAACAACATATTTCAGTTCATTGGGGTTCCCTGATGCTCACGGTCTGCTCATTTTTTTATAAGAGCCATAGTTTTTGAACAGGTGGCAAAATTGTCAGATATAATCCCCAATGCATTCTTATGGGACTCAGTGCTGCAGTTGGCTGTCAAGGTGTTGCTGGGCAGATTGGAGCCACACACACGTGAGTCACATCATCCAATCAGAGCAGACACCATGGAAACCTTTGATCTCTGGGTTTACACACACAGATGTTTGTAAACATTCAATCACTACTACTTACATTTAATATCTTTATTTAACTCCTTCAGCCTAATTTCAGCTGCAGGAACCATTGAAATATCAAACTATTCAGCCTTTTCAACACATGATGGGAAACTTTCAACTTTTTCAAAATATGTTATACTTTTTAAAATATTCAGCTTTTTATTTATTTATTTATATCTCACACACACTCTTGTGTGTGAGATATTCAGCTTTTTAAAGTCTTTTTTCAACGTGGAAGTTATTGCAATGCATTTGAGCTGTAACAATTCTCTCTCACACACACACACACTCTATTTATATCTCTCACACACACACACACACACACACACACACACACACACACACACACACACACACACACACACACTCTCTCTCTCTCTCACACACACACACACATACACACACACACTCTCTCTCTCACACACAGTGACACACACACTCACTCTCTCTCACACACACAGACACACACACACACTCTCTCTCTCTCACACACAGACACACACACACTCTCTCTCTCTCACACACACACACACACACACACTCTCTCTCTCACACACAGACACACACACACACACACACACACTCTCTCTCTCACACACAGACACACACACTCTCTCTCACACACACACACAGACACACACACACTCTCTCTCACACACAGACACACCACACACACACACACACACACTCTCTCTCTCACACACAGACACACACACGCTCTCTCTCACACACAGACACACACACACACACACACTCTCTCTCACACACAGACACACACACTCTCTCTCTCTTTCACAAATACACACACACACTCTCTCTCTCACACACACACACACAGACACACACACGCTCTCTCTCTCACACACAGACACACACACACTCTCTCTCTCACACACAGACACACACACTCTCTCTCTCTCACAAAGACACACACACTCTCTCTCTCACACAGACACACACCAATGATGATGAATGATCAAGAGAACAGAGACAGAGCGATCAAGAGAAGAGAGAGAGGGCGATCAAGAGAAGAGAGAGAGAAGAGAGAGAGGGCGATCAAGAGAAGAGAGAGAGGATGAGCAAGAGAAGAGAGAGAGAAGAGAAAGAGGGCGATCAAGAGAAGAGAGAGAGTAATGTAACCTCCTAATGTAATGTATAAATCCTATGAAAATGTTCAAAAAGTGCTCAAACTTCACATGTGTGCTAACAGTCCAGCCATGAAGACATCTACAGGAAAGTTTTGAGATTTCTTCAAATGCCGTTGCCATGGCAACACAATGCTCACCATGAAACACGGTTTTCTCATAACTTCAGTGAAAATACTCGAAATGGCCCAAAATTTCACAGGTTTGGTAACGATGCAGCCATCAACGCATCTAAGCGTATTATGGGGTGTCATCAAATGTCGTTGGCATGGCGACAGATAATTCACCATCAAGTTAGTTCAAAAGTTTGCAGTTCAAATATTCTGCTGCTTTCCCAAGCCTTTTTACTTTCTTTTCTCATCTTAATACAAATTCATTCACTACTACTTACATCTGATATCTAACTCCTTCAGCCTATTTTCAGCTGCAGAACCCATTCAACTATTACATGATTCAGCTATGTCAGGACATCAAGGCTATACATGTTGTTTTTTATACCTTTTTTTAAAACTTTTCTTTAAATATTAAGCTTTTCTGCATTTGTTTAGCTAAAAGCAGCTACCATTTAGCTAATAACACATTCAGCTTTTTCTGCATTTTCAGCTAAATTCAGCCATAAATGTTCACAGTTTACAGCATTCGCACGCATTTTCTGCAGGAAATGCATTTTCTAGTTTGTTTACATTTTTTGTCACGGAGAGATGATGAGATGAATGCGGGGGTACAATGGGGGGGTAAGATGGGGGGGTACGGTGGGGGGTACGATGTGGGGGTACGATGTGGGGGTACGATGTGGGGGTACGATGGTGGGGTACGCACCACACCCCGCTGACGCAGCGGGTGGAGAGGGCTCGGGGCATGATTTCTGACCCTTGCTGCATGAAGCCCCCCACCGGGAACCACAGACTGTTCCCCAGCGTGTACTGGTTCTCCAGAACGTTCTTCCTCTCCCGCAGGCAGGGGTGGGGGTTGTACCACTCATAGGGGCTGAGCCTGAGGGGGGGCACAATGAGTCAGAATAGAGACAGATTAGACTTTACATCCACCATTTGACTTCTTCTACTATTAATTGTAAGTCGCTTTGGATAAAAGCGTCAGCTAAATGCAATGTAATTCATTAATTTAAAGCAGCGGTTTTCAAAGTGTGAGGCGCACCTCCCTGGGTGGGCACTAGAGAGCTTCAGGGGAGGCGCAGCGTGAGAAAAAAATGACGAGAAATCGTTGACGGCCGGCTGGGTTCGCTGACGGCCGGCACCGGCCTTTATTTTTTATGTTGTTAAACGGCATCATTTAAATTGCGCTGACAGGGAACAGAGGTCCGTTCAGCGGGCCATTTCCACGCAGCGAGGCTCCCCCCCCCCCCACTTTGATCAAAAGCAAGTGCCGGTCAAGGCTGCAGCCAGAGGATGATCTGCGTTTATTCCTGTCTACATTGCATCCCTGCATCATCCGCCTGTGCGCATCAAAGACGGAGACTCATTGTTCCCTCTAAAGTAGGGGTGAGTGTAATAAGGAGGCAAAGTTGTTGTTCAGTGTGTTGCCGGGAGCATATAAGGATTTATCCACCATGTTGAAAATGTTAAAAATGTTTTAAAAAATGTTTAAAACATAAAGATAAAAAGGTTTGAAAAAGTTATTGTTTAATGTTTTAAGGAGGTGACGCTACTCAGCCAATGAAATCGGTGCAGTCAGTGAGTCAGCACGATGGATTCAAACACAGAGACGAGACAAGAAGAGAGAAACAGCAGTGAGTCATTTCAAATGGCGTGCTCAAAAAAGAGAAAGGTAGACAGCGAAAACAGAGCATTTAAAGACATTTTATTTTACTGGACCTCTTTGAAATGCAATTGAATACCCCTGCATTATAGCAACAACAACAATAATAATAGCAATAGGGGGGGCGCGGCTGTTCTTATGAGGGGAGGCTCACCTTCCCACACTTTGAAAAGCCCTGATTTAAAGCACTCCGTTCTAAACATATGAGCCTAAAATCTCTTACAGTCCCGATCAAAGTGAAAAGATTATAGGGTTGTATAGCGCTTGCTTTCAGGTTCAAAATTATATGAACGGAAGCTTTAATTATTGTTTTTTTATTAATAATAATTTCTCTGTCACTGCGTCTAGTTTTGACTTATTTTTGTATGCAGAATGTTTAGATTTTAGAAAATAGAAATTCAGCAACATGTTTACATTTTGACAGACACATTAAAGGTCCCATCATATGCTTTTCTGGTTATTACCCGTCCCCTTGTTGTTATGTAGCTTTTTCTGCATGTAAACGGTCTGCAGAGTCACAAACCCTCTAGCGCAGGGGTCACCAACCTTTTTTAGGGTGAGGGTTACTTTAAAAAAATAAAACAAGTCGGGGGCTACTTTTACTCCTCTTTTGTTGTTTTTTGCAGTGTATATATTTAGCACATTTTAACATTATTATATGCTGACCTTTAACCTTTGTGTGCTGTTTGGGTCTGTGGGACCCGTTTGCAGTGTTTACTAAAATAACATGTTGCAATTTAATTATTTTAACCTGCTTTATTTGGGGGGAGACCTCACCTCCTCTAGTGGGGTCCTCACATCCTCTAGGGGGGGACCTCACCTCCTCTAGGGGGGTCCTCACCTCCTCTAGGGGGGTCCTCACCTCCTCTAGTGGGGACCTCACCTCCTCTAGGGGGGTCCTCACCTCCTCTAGGGGGGTCCTCACCTCCGCTAGGGGGGTCCTCACCTCCTCTAGTGGGGTCCTCACCTCCTCTAGGGGGGTCCTCACCTCCTCTAGTGGGGTGAGGATGTATTTTTAAAATGTTGAAATGAAATGCATCAATCTGGTGCACTTTGAGCACAACATGAATGTATGGATACAGCTCTCAACACTCAGATGAAAGGGAGCTGTATACTTTTCAATAATCCAAACATCTTTAGAATATGATCACAACCAATAACAAATCATTTCAACTTGTTTATTCTTATCTTATGTTACCTGGTTAGCATTCTTTATTTTTATTTATGCATATTTTACTAATCACTCCCCTTTCAAACTGTTTTTTTTACTGTACTATAGTACACATTGGAATGATTTCTTACTTTATCTATATTAAATAGATAAAGGTGTGCTCTCCCTAGCTCTTGCGCTCTCTCTCTCTCTCTCTCGTTCTCTCCCTCCCTCCCTCCCTCCCTAGCTCTCGCGCTCTCTCTCTCTCTCCCTCTGTCTCGCTCGTTCACAGAGGCTGTGTGCTCCTCCGTGGCGATGACGGCTTGCGTTAAAAAAATAAATAAACGTATTTGTAAAGTGGGAGGACACAAACGGGGTATCGAAAAGTGCGGGGGACATGTCCCCCCTGTCCCCAGTGGAAATTACGCCATGCATGTGTGTGCGTCAAGTGCAATAAACATATATGCAAGTTGCAACACACACAGAGTAAAGCTCTGCCCCTCATGTGTTGTATAGGCTGCACGACAAGGCTGTTCAATGGGGCTGATGTGTTGATTCTGCCAGAAGGGAAATCAGCGGGGAGGTGCCACATTACTTTTCTTCCTGACTGCAACGCTGGTTCCGCAAATCAAGCAAGAACGTGATTGGTCGATATTCATTGTGGGGGTGGGGGAGGAGGGGTGTTAGATAGATATAGAGTTGTAGTAAGTAGATAGAGTTCGCTATGATTTAGGTTTTGTTTATGCATAGGGTAGATTCTTTTAATTACATTTCCTTTTTTGTTTTGTGTATTTTTTACATTTTGGCGAGTTATTTTTAGAACATGCCCCGCGGGCGACTCACGTTGCCCCTGCGGGCGACTAAGCGACTCTAGCGAGTAAAACTCTCACACAGAAAATACCTGTCTATGCTGCCCCAGAACGTCTCGTTGGAGACTTGAAATGTTTTTGCTCTATGAAACCTGATGTACTTATTAGGGCTGTCAGTCGATTAAAATAGTTAATCGCGATTAATCGCAAATTAATCGCACATTTTTTATCTGTTCTAAATGTACCTTAGAGGAATATTTTTCAAGTTTTTAATACTCTTATCAACATATGAGTGGACAAATATGCTTTATGCTAATGTTTATTATCATTTGAACAATGACAAATATTCTCATGAATATTAAACACAACAACCTCTGAACATTACAAATATTCGCCTCAATTCAACCTGGAACCTCTCTCATACAATAATACAATACAACTGGTGTGTGTGTGTGTGTGTGTGTGTGTGTGTGTGTGTGTGTGTGTGTGTGTGTGTGATGGATCGTTGGAGCTATGTGCAACTCAAGGCATATGCTCGAACGGGAGCTGCCTGGACGCTGCAATCATGTTGCGCACTATCCGTGCTGAGTGTGCTGACTTTTCGTGCAATGTCCCACTGTCTGGCTTCCTGCATAAAGTCAAGTGCTTGGCGCAGTTGTGGCGAAATGTCGCTCCTCTGTTTTCATTTAAACAGCCTCCTATATCCGTTAGCGCAGCTAGCTAGCACCAGATGCTAACAACAACAATGCACGTAAGGTCTCTCTCTCGCTCGCTCGGGCCACACACACACACCCTCCCGGTCCTCCCAATAGCCAGTCGGTGCCTGCTGGTGAGCGTGGAAGTGTGGTCTGCCACAAGCGGGCGGCAGGAGCGGGGCTGTCAGCATCAGCTTGTAGATGGTATTTTAAACCTCGATGCGCTCTGAAACTACGGGCGGCCGAGGAAAAAAAGACACATGCGTTAATCGCGTTAAAATAATTAGTGGCGTTAATTTAACAAAAAAAAACTTATATGATTCTGTTTTCTTCAAGTTTGTATTTTGTTGGTCGAACGCACTTATTGTAAGTCGCTTTGGATAAAAGCGTCAGCTAAATGCAATGTAATGTAATGTCATTTTTTTCTTCCGGGGCCTATTGACGTCACTACGTCCAAATGGATCAATTGGTCCAAATGCACCAATCCGTGGAGCTCCGCACACACACTCACTCACTCAGGCTGAGCTCCGCGGTGCTCCGCTGGCATGGCACGCAGACCCCACGCAGCAACCAGGAAACAACACTAGTAATTCAGCTCATGCATTCTCATTCATTTGTCATTACTGGTGTCCTTTTCTGGTTGCTAACAAACGCCATTGTAAAACATAAACACTGATGTTCAGCTGTAACGGTGGTTGACTAATCAGAACAGAGTCGGCGAGCTGACCAATCAGAGCACAGGGCTCCTGCCCCCCCCCATCCGAATGAGCCCACTGTCCCAACAAGCCGTGTAGGACAGAGAGTGAATACACATACTATACAGAGATGCTGTTTGAGAAACCAATGTGATTTTGGAACATTGAACAATGTAAATCTATTCTAGTAGACCTCAACAATGGAATTATGATCAGTAGAAATGGCCATGTCATGGGAGCTTTAAGACAGACACACACACACCTGGCAGCAAGAAAGAGGACGCAGCTGACGGCGAGGTAGGCCAGCAGCATGAAGAGCCACACGGCCGGAGAGAAGGGGTCCAGGAAGGAGAAGTACCCCGGCTTCCGGCCCTGAAACACACAATCACTCTGTTAATAATGTGTTAATAAGAACTTATTAAACATTTTTCCAATTTTCCAATATGAAAAGAAAGATGTTTGGCACATTTTGCATCACTCTGATCCTGTGACTCTGTAAATGTGTTCTGGGCTCCTCACACGGTTTACAGCCTCACACATGGAGCCACCTGGACTTTAAATCATGAATGTTTATGAGAGGAAGTTCTGTGAGCTGTGAAGAGGACCATCTGCTGGGCACAGAGCTGTCACTGTCTGCTTACTATCACAACCTTCCCTTCCATATCACAGCCATGTGTGTTTGGAAACACATCATTTTTCACATTTTGTCAGGACCTAAATCGAAAATTTAAATAAATACATTTTAAAAATAAAAACAGTTACAAGCCTTTCAGTGTTAATGACTGTGGGTCGATGCCCCCTAATCAGATGCCATGGGCGTCGCCTGGGGTAGGCATCCGGGGCTTTAGACCCGGATATTTTTTCTTGAAAATGTTGGAAATGTTGACTTACTGTCAGTGTTCGACATGAAGCTAGAAGCTGCCTTACAGTACACAGTTGTTCCGGAGTCCTGTCAGTTAAAGTGTTCATAGTTAGCTTAGCATCAGCATCAACCTAGCACTGAAATATATGGATGTTATGTGACAGTATTTCTGAGAAAAAGTCAGCTGAAATGGTGGCATCTCTTTTAAAAACCGCCTTTGCTTTCTCACTTCTCCATCCCCACCAACTCATAAAGCTGGCAATGTTGTGCTTAGCCGCTCGGTGCGGTGCATTTGGGTCTGGTGCCGCCCCTGGACAGGAGGAGGCAGTCTGCTGGGGGGAAAGTCCTTGTATTTATTCACCATCCACCTCCTCCAATGCCAAACTAACTTCCCTCAGTTGTTACTACAAAGCCACTAGAGGGGCGGCATTGTCGTGTTATCATATCGCTGATCAACTAGGGAGAAACATCATGTCCTTTAAAACTCCTGTTCACAATACACAATATGATTCACCTATATTTGATTGATTTAGATGACTTATACCTTAAAGGTATGGTAGGTAATTCACTTCAGAACACTTTTTGTTATATTCCCATGGAATGCTCTTAACATCCCGATAGCAATGAATACATGAAATGCTTTGGGCAATAAATACATAAAAAAATGTCATCTGTGGAAGCCGTGGCGGCTAAAGTAACTGGATGGCTTACCTGCCTGTCAGCCTTCCATCTGGGCACAAACTTATCTCGTGCCCTCATTGGTCATGTGCGCGTTCGTGTGTGTTGGAGGAGGGGCTCTGTAAGGAAGTCTGAAGGAAGAGGCAGATTTTCTTTGGCTGCGTACTTTCAAATTCTAGCGCACTCGAGCTGGTTTCTCCATTCTTACCTACCTACCTTTAACTTATGAGGCAGTAGCCTATACCTTACCTCTAGTGAGGGGCCCAGCCCCTTTGAATGCTTTTCTGTATGTGGCCCTCACTGAAAAAAGATTGGACACACCTGTCTTACAGTTAGATACAACAACTAATAATCAGATTTCTGTCACAATTATGTTTAAATTAAGTGACATAAACATTGATATATTACAGGTAGACGTCTTGCCTGAATCTTCCTTTTGATTTTCATTTACATGCAAGCTTATTTTTTAAACGATTAATGTATCTCTTCTTTCTCCTGTATCTGTATTTCATTTAACACCAGGGGGCAGGATCACTGATACAAAAAACTGAACTGATTTGTGCGCATAACTCAACAGCTTTAGGAATTCAAAAGATGACCATATTTAAGTGTTTGTAAACTGTTTATATGGAGTGCCTAATAATGTGCATGAAGCTCTTTATACCTTCAGACTTATTTTCATTTTTTATGTAGTTATTATTTCAATGAAAAGTGCTTTGGTGTGATACATTCAAGAGCTTGTACATCCAGATGCACGCTGTAGATAAAGTGTTACGTTTTATTCATTACAACACTTAGCATTCTCTTATGTTGTTAATATTAAATGACGTCTGTGCTGCTGCAAGGTAATCACACTTTAAATGTTATATGTGTTATGACATATTGATAAGTGTTTTTCCAACATTTATCATTTAAAAAACCTCACACTGATGATGTGATGCTGTTTAAATTCTACAATGCAACTCTTGGCTGTTGGTCCAGTCCAAGACCATGTCAGAAAAGTAATTGTGACCGAGTCAGGATTTAGTCCGATCAAGTCCTGTTTAAGAACAAGAGGCAAAACTCTTTCCCATGCTAATCATCGGACTCGTGGAGTCGATCAACACAAAAATATTTGACAACTATTTTGAAAATGTAAACCTTAAGTATCTTTTTTGCAAATAAACTGCAGTAAAACAACATTTCTTTCAGCTAAGATTTGTTGGTAAATGATTGCTTTCCCCTGAATATCTTTAGGTTTTGGACCAACATAACATTTTTAAGACCTTTCGGACATTAAGGAACTGGGCAGGACATTTCTCAATTACATTTTGAGACCATACTATTCATGTATTCATTTGGAATCCTCAAAATGCAGATATAAAAATAATTGTTAGTTGTAGCCTTTAGAGCAGGGGTGTCCAAACATTTTCACTGAGGGCCCCATACACAAAAACATACGGTTAGCTGGGGCCCCTCACTAGAGAATGAGGTGTACTGCCTCATAAGTTAAGTTATAAGTTAGCAAAGTCAATCAAATGTAAATTATGCTTGATACTTGAATATGCTTTAAGAAAATCACTGCTCTCCATTTGTTTCATTCATTTTGTTACAAAAAGGGTTGGCAGCTCATCCCTTACAACAGAAGGCTCGGATTGCTTATAATAGGGGGAAATATGAAGGGTTTATTTCAAGCTGGTTATGGAAATAAGTTGTTGGGATTGTTAGACTTTTAGAATTTGCTGAGGGCCGATTCAAAATGGACAATGGGCTGCAGTTGGCCCCCGGGCCATAGTTTGGACACCCCTGCTTTAGAGTAAAGGAAACATTATTACACCACTTCCCTTTATCAAACAGATAAACACAACTGTGCACCTTTCCAAAACAAGTTTATCGTTCACCGAAGTAAGACTAGCTTTATTGCGTTTATTCATAGTAATACATGCTTTAATCCACTGTTCAACGATCACTAACTCTGATTGGTACAAATAAACCATCTTATCGACTTCACTAAATGTAATGTGAATATATGCCTGCTACTCACGCTCTGCCCAACTTACAGCCAGGAACAAGTTTTCCTGTTCTCTATAGCTAGGTCCGATACCAAGAGAACTCGAAATCCCACAATGCACCAGGACCAAGACAAGTGCAAGTTCTAGCAGAGAACTTCCAGCTCCATAGTTCCTGTAGTTTGTCCCTTTCAATAACCCTGGACATGTTTGCACACATTGTACTCATGCTACCTCATTTGCATTTCTATTTAAATTAGATTTTAATACTGAACACAACTTTGCAAACTATATTTTTCTATTTGTAGAAGTATTCTAATGTATTTTTCATTTGTTAATTGTGTGTTCTTTATATACTCTATTGATATATATGTGTTCTACTGTTGATGTATATATATATATATATATATATATATATATATTTACTGTTTATGTTTATTTTTTATTTAATTTAATTTGTATTTATTATTGTATTTCTAACTCATGTGTTATAACTTTCTGCTGATGTGACAAAACAATTGACTGAATAAAGTATCTCTAATGTAATCTAGACTTCAAATAGTGGTGTGAGGGCCGGACATGAGAAGGCCTTTTTTTTTTAAATAAAATGTGGAAGTCTACATTCTAACCAAGGAGGCCAACAGTTTTCAAACACATTTTCAGTTGGTTTTAAATAATGTTAGATGTTTTAATCTAACATTATTTAAAACCAACTGAAAATGTGTTTGAAAACTTAGCAACACGTAAGCACATTATCAAATGACCCCTAGCATTGCAGAAATGCCAGGGGCCCCATGGCTTTCTGGGCCCTCTAACAGGTTCATTTTCATTATCATTATTTGTTAGTCAGTCTATTTACTTAATGATCACTAGTGCTGCACCGGAAACAGCACAGTGTGGTGATTTAATTGGCTCTCAATTCAAATCCCCAATTCAGAGCTGAGCAGGAAGTCAGAGTCCTCGTCCTCTGCAGCAAGAGGATGTGAATCTGCAAGCCCTTACTGTGAGGAACACTGTGCTCTCAGTCAAACGTAATCCTTAAAGCCCCTGTCACACTGTGCCGAAATTGACACCAGATGGACCACACGAATATGGAATTGTGAATTTCGCACAAAGATGGCCTCGAACTTGGTCAACGGCCAAGCAACAGCCGAAGCAACAGCCGAAGCAAGTACGATGCCTACAGAAGGCCACACGATGGCGCCCAAACCACACAAGAAGGCGTCACGTGACCTCCCGATGGTATAAAACCTTCGGCCGCACGTGGCAAATGTAATTCCTGATCGGAGATTACTGGGAGCAGAACACACGGTAAATTATACTTTAATTCTACAGTACTTTAACATGCCACCCAAGGCAGGGAGAGGCAGACGGAAGAAGCTGGCTGGTAAATACACTCAGAAGAGGGAACCAGAGGAAACTGAGGATTTAGAGGTCCAAGAACACAGCACTGAGACTCCAACCAGAGAGAGAAAGGGGAGGAAATCCAAGAAATATGTCGATCGTTGTCCAACTAAACTCCTGAGCGGTCCTCAGAGGGTTCCAGGTCTCCTCAGCCAGTCCCAAGAGTCTCGGCAGCATTCACCTTCTCCCCCTCCTCCTCGTCACACACATCCTGAATCCTCGGATGATGAAGGTAAATATTTCTAACTTATTTTTGGTATGGATGGGGGCAGGGTTCGAGTTATAAACTGAGCTCTAGTCTATGGGGTCTTTAAAATGCGTGCGCACGCACTATTTTTTCAAAATACCAAACAGATCCTGCATTTTAGCCATGCCTCATTTCGCTCTATTTGCTCTTTCCAGCGCTGTTTTTGCAGGGAGCTGATTCTGTGAGCTGCAGC